GGGCGATACAACCCTTTGTACCGTGATCGATGGAGCCGGATACAGAATTCGAGGCAAATACCGCAGGTGCCCGAGGCGTTTCAAATCCCTCACGAAAGCGATGCCGACAACTGGGTCCCCCCACCCCCTCCTTACTCTAGTGAGCCTGACGCTCCACTTCCAGAGTATCTTAGGAGGACTCTTCTTCCCACAAGAACTGAGCCGTCTTTGAGAGCTGGTGTCGCGCCTACTTCAGTCCGGAGATCGCAAACTACTCGCTGGGACAACGTGTCCCAGGAAGGAACTTCTGCAACTCCCCCGCAGAGGCTGAACACCGTCGCCGGCTCCCTATGGGCCCGGAGAAGGAGGGATTCCGAAACCCGTCATCAAAGTTCACGACCAGACGACATTTTTCGAAGGAGAGGTCGTTCTGCCAGCCGTTCACGTCAAATTGAATTCCCAGAAGCGCGTCCGCGTTCACCTACCAATGTCGAGGAGCCATCAGCAGGAGTAGATGGTACTCGCACTCCAACCCATTCACCCCTTCCAATAAGCCCTACGCCGGCCCCCTTGCAAGCGCAACCTGTGATCGACCAGCCCTTTTTACATCACGACTGGCAATTCGATGCATCTGCAGCTCTTGCCATACCCCAGGGAATGAATCATTATCCATTTTCGGTTTCATCTCCCAACCTGCAGGTTTCAGGTTCTGAATTCATTGATTCGGCAACCGTGCCAAATATCAGCCGACTACATGGTGTCCATAGATCGGCAACTCGACGCTCACAATCTCATGACATCCGGTTGCCATCAACAGGAATCCAACCTCTTAATCGCCGAGTATCCACAGATCCTACACTGTCGTCCACATCAGCGAATGAGCTGTGGCGAAGACGTATAGAGGAGTGGAACGAACAAACGATCTACGAAAGGAGCAAAAGGCGATCTAGATGTGTTTTGATGTAGGCTAGTCTTGGTTTCCATTTTTCATCTTTCATATTCTGTCTGCTTGAAGCATTTATTGAAGTATCCATACCACTGTTTTGGACTGTTTTCTGGATATACTCGACCCGATATACATATATGCATGCTTCTTGGGACAGCGCTTCGGAACTCTGATTTCACGCTCGATATTTGGATACCCATGAGACCGAGTCTCGACTTTCGTTACGGAATGCTATCCTGCATTTTGGCAACTCACTCAGTGTTATAAATTTGGCTGTAGACAATTGGAGCAACGCCACAGGCATTGAACGAGCATGTTATAAGAAATTAGGAAGTCATTATCATCTGGAATCTCAAAATCAAAGACGCGCATGGGATATAAGCCTAGTCTCAGCTACCGCCTCCACATCCTCCCCCGCCTCCTCCTCCCCCTCCACACCCTCCTCCTCCCCCTCCACCACCACCACATCCACCTCCTCCACTGCATGACCCTCCCAGGCCACAGCAGCCTCCAGCCGCGACACCACCCCCACATGTGCCTGCACAACAGTTCCCATGGTCTCCTGCAATGGTGCTCATACAGGTCGGGTTCGATGCATAAGCATCAGGGTTCACGCACGGGTCGCACATGTAAGGCCCGTAGTAGGGCACAAACACCGGGAAACCCCAGACCATGGGAGTGGCGTACATACTGGCGTCTGCTGCAGATGACGAGGAACGTCTCTTGGGATCGTCAGTTTTGCCGAGTTTGCGATTTCTCTTCTCGGCACGTCGGCGCGCCTTCTCGTAATTGTGACGGAGTTTCAGGGCCTGTACCCTTCGACGGTCGATGCCTAGCAGCTTGTCCCTGGTGTCGGCTCGGACGGCATTGTGAGCGGAGATGTGCGGGTTCTTTTCTGGGTCAGACGAGATGTCCTGTCTGTTGTGGAGATTGGCAGCGGCTTCGCGGGCTTTGGCCGCTGTGGAGGAAACGAAAGGGCCGCCCCGGAGGTCGGGCGCACGGATGGCCTCGCAATACCAGCATGTGCACTCGCTGTAGATCTCGCCGTCGGTTAGCTTCCTGTATATCTTGCTGGTCCATTCGAAGCCATCGGAAAGCCGATTCTCATCGACTTTGTCGTCGTGGTCGATGAAGGTGGCTATCCTGGTCTGCAAGTTCGTGTGGCAGACGGAGTACTCGAAGTATCGCTGCGGGGCAAGCTGATGCGTGTGCCAGGCGAGGTCCACGTCGAGGGTGGGGACGGCCATGCGTCGCGGATTTGACGCCATGATGTGGAAGAACACATGGTATTTGCGTATCAGGCGGTCCATGGTTGCCATCACAGTGGGCGAGTGGAGCCAGTCGATGTGATCCATCTTCTCGACGAATGTCCCCTGTCGGATAACTGCCCCGACCAGATCTAGAGCAAAGGGCCCGGTATTATTCCAGTAATGGGACATCATGCGACGAAAGGCTACTCCATCTTCCCTCAGAGGCTTCCCGTTGTTTGCCAGCCGCATGATTTGCCAATCCTTGAGCTTGCTTTCGAGCTGGTCACGCAGCTGGCTGACAGTCATACAGCGTGCTTGCCGGGCGTCGGTGTAGTCAAGGAGGTCATTGCCCAGTGCTTCGATAAATCGGTTGGGGAACGTCGAGTGTTGACGAGTTCGACTTTTATTGATCGATTCCGGGACTCCACGCAAATTGTACAGTGTCCCTGGCATTGGTACCTTCTCTCTCAGCCAATCCACGACATCCCTTCTGAATTTTCGGACTCTCAGCAGCTCGTGGTCGATTGTCGAGCCGCACTTCAAGCATTTCACATTGAAGTTCTTGTCTGCATAGCCGTCGAACTTGTCAAACGCCGTCTGAATCGGGAGGGAGATTCTGCCTCGAGTCCAAGGCACCGATACTGTATTCTCACAAGCGGGACACTCGATTAACTTCTTCAGTTGGTCGTGCAGGTTGTCCCATGCAAAGCGTGTCAGGCCGCTGAAACTGACCCTCGCGCGATCCCCCGCGTCATACTCTAGGGTTCGGTTATCGATACAATCATTGATCGTTTCCCAGGGGAAGCCGCTTGCCCAGAAGCTCATCTTCCCGGACCGAATGCAGTCCTCCAGGAAGGCTCTGGGATTCAGCATATGCGCATGCCATACCATGAGGACATCTGCTCCTGTTAGTACTACTCGATGCCACTGTATCTAACGGAAAATAGGTATATGGAAGAATTATCTATCGATCACTCACCTAAAGGGGGCAGCGAATCCTTGGACCATGATAGCAGATGGTTGCCCTGGGTAATGTGATCATAGCTCTCATCCTCCAGGTCCTTGAGGCGAGCGCCTGGCCTGTTGCTGGGGACGCACGTCCCCCACCACTTCGTGTAACGATCAACTGCTCTAGCCGTATAGACAGCCCATCTCTTTTCTCTCATGCGAGCCCGAACCTCATCGACGTGATCAGGGAACTCGGTCTGTGGTGGATCATGGAGGCCAAAGAGGCCATCGTTCCCGGCCACACTATCACGCAGGTCCGCTAGTGCCGCGATGAATTTGAGATGAGCGACACACTGGTCCCTGGTGACGGTTGTTGACACAAGGGGGCCGGCATTGTATGACAGATTCAGCGGCGGGATTGTTGGTATTTGCTCGTCAATCTGGTCATATCCGGGTGGTTGCTCGGAAGACGGTCGATCAGAATCCTCTGCAGCCTTATCTTTAACGAGCTCTTGAGTGATAGTCATATTGACGGGTGTATGCATTCATGAGCACGTATATCAAGCTTGCTGAGAAAGAGATATCATGAGATATCCTTTGCAGGGAGTGAAGTGAGCTCTTATATGTTAGTCGGGACTACTTCATCAAATTTCAGGTCCAGGTCAATAACATCATCACTAAGGCTAAGCCATCAAGAACCTCAGTTCAGAAACGATAGAGATGATGCAATACCTGATCCGGTGATAGGACTGCAAACCGGTACGTCGATCCGCTCCAAGGTGTGAAGCTCTCGGTATCAGACAGCTCCTGTTATCTTGGCCAGCCTAATGAAGTACCTCGTGGTACCGGGCAACGGCAGCGCAGGGCGCGGGGTGTCTGGGGCAACGAGTTGGCGAGACACAGCCCCCTCGGATTAGTTCAATCATATGCTGGACCTATATCAAGGGTCCAAACAAGAAACCATTATTGGATGGTGATCAATCAGCCTTCGGAGGCTTAGTCGGGCTAAGCCGCGCGCTGAACCATTGGCACCGGTGAGGAGTCTGACACTGTGGTCCGTGGAAGGTTTCTGGAAGCCGATACATTGGGGTCTCCGCATAGCAATTAACCTCACTAACCACTAAGAACAGTGTAGATACGTGGCAGATGCCGAGAGCTTTCATGCTAATTGGATAGGCCTGAATGATGTATGTATATGTAGCTCCTTGACCCTCTCCTCTGTGTATCTAGATGCCTTAGCGCCTTCAGGCAGCCATTGAACTCCCAGTGGAGTCTCTAATCATACCCTTCACATAATGGCTATGACAGGCTTCACATGACCTATACCGATAGGCACAGAAGACACCAAAGATGCATTGCTCATACAATTAATTCGATGTTATGAGCATCCTACACCCATAAGGTAGATACCCAATGGTTCTGCAGTACTCAGTAGATAGGCCTAGTCACGTGGGATCAACACGTGAGCGGGTGCGAGATCGGACAGTCTCTCGTCTCTCCCCCGCTTGTTACTCATCCACTGCTGAGGGGTCTGTCGAGTCGCACGAGAGTCAACTGGCTAGGTTGTTGGATTTTGTGATTGAAATTATCTTCTTCAGGAAAAGCCTTGTTTATATCGATCTTTTCTTGCATTTATTCCTGGCGCTGGATCCTTCTTCCTGGTCAAAAATTTCTTGCGCGTGACAGACAGTCCGGGGAAGTATTTTTTCCACGCCCAAGCTTTATCGGCCGCCGCGTGTCCAGTAATCGTCAACGCTCCCAGCCTGGCGTCAATCGGAGGATCGTCGAGCGGAATCGGAGGCGGGGGTGCGCAAGGAGACACTCTGGAGCCGAGTGCACGGAATACTAATAATGCTTCTGCTGCTACCGGCCCCGTAATGGGAGGTACCGGCCATTCGTCTGCTTCTCCCGCTGTCGGTCCCGATGGTTTGGGACAAGTCAAAAAGCGCACCGTCGCCATGGCGGGGCTGGAAAGCTCCCCTGGCAGTGTCGATGATATCGAGGACAATGATCAGCGGGAGGAGAAGAAGAGGCAGCCTGTGAAGCGAGCGTGCAACGAATGTCGACAACAAAAGGTGAGGTTGTCGCTTGCCGTCGCTGGCGCTGTTCAATCCTCAAGGAGTCCATGCTGACCAGGAGATTTAATTCGATAGCTTCGATGTGATGTGGTTCAAGACCCATGGACAGACTGTTCACGATGCCGTCGCTTGAAGCTCGAGTGCAAGATCGAGTCCAACTTCAAACGCGTTGGAAAGAGGAGTCGGAATGCCGAGATGGAACGGGAGATTATCGAGTTACGAAAGCAGATTGCCAACGTGCAAGCCAACCCTGCTGCCATGACCCCTCAGCAACATGCGCCTTCTCTTCACTCCGCACATGTCACTCCGAAACAAGAGTCGAGTCATGTCAGCCCTGCGGGTGTATATCACACACCTTCCGCCATATCATCCGATCAATATATGGGCTCTCACGAGGCTGTTGCATCTCTACTTGACTTGCGCTCCGGCTTTGATGGCTCGAACTACATGAGGAATGGGAATCTGTTCAAGCGAATTGAAGATGTGGTGGTTGCGCCGGAGAAAGTGACCGAGCTATTTGACCTGTAAGTCCCGCTTGCCACAACAGTGAGTTTCTTGCATCATTATTTACCATAACAGGTTTTTCATGTTCTATCATCCCTTTCTTCCGTTCCTTGACCGACAACGTTCGCCAGATGACTACTACAGCGTATCGCCATTACTGTTCTGGACTATCATCAGCGTTGGAGCTCGGCGGTACCAGACAGATACCCATCTGCTCAACTCGCTGGCTGGCCCAGTCACGCGACTGGTATGGAGTACGTTGGCGGATATACCCCAGAGCTACCACGTTGTGAAGGCGCTGTGTCTGCTCTGCTCGTGGCCGTTCCCTACCAGCAGTACCTCGACGGATCCTACCTTTATGTTATGCGGTATGATGATGCAAGTTGCCATGCAGCTTGGCTTGCACCGACCGTCTCATACCCAGGACTTTAGCAAGTTCCGAGTAGAACTCATCGAGGAGGAGCTCAGGGACAAGGTGAGGACGTGGGCCATCTGTAATGTTGTCGCACAGCGGTATGCTTGTATCTTTCTACTTTCATTGACCTCGGCGCTGACGGCCTCTAGTGTTGCAACGGGATATGGTCAGCCGCCATCTACTCTGTACGACTGGACGCTATCAGCGAGCGGGTCGGTGGATCCGAATTTCAAGTTGCCCGAGGATATTAGACGCAGACTCGATATCGAAATCTTCTGCGACAAGGTCACGAAGACGCTCTACACCAACCGGCGGGACCCTGTTGGCCTATGCAGTGACCAAGAGAGATCTACGCTGATAACTTTTCTGTCGCGGGATTTTGATGAACTCGAGGACCAAGTCAAGTCGAGGACTGACGGTAAGCGCTCCCAGCCTGTGCCGACATGTGAAACGTCACTAATGTGGATCAGCGATAACCGACCTCTTTCTGCGTGCTGCCAATCTCCATCTTCACCTGTCAGCATTCTTTGACGATCCTAGAGCCAAAGACTATCGAGAACGTCTTCTGTCTCTCTACGTCGCAACCACGTCGTTCCTCGAGGCAGCTATGACTCTGGAGACGGAGGTTGGCCCAGTCCTATCCTATACGCCCTACTACGTGTACCAGATGATGGTTGCTGGAGCCTGCACACTTCTCAAGCTCTGCAAGAGTTTCTTTGCAGCGCATATGGATATGGACTACACCAAGAGTCTTTTCAACCGAACCATCTGGGCGATTCGGGGTGTATCGGTGTCCAGCAACGACCTCCCCGAACGGTTGGCGGAAGTCTTGGCCCAAATGTGGCGAATGGGCGGTACCCAGCAACAGAAACCATCCGCTACTAGTGCCGAGGTGGATGATACCTTGATGCTCAAGGTCCGCTGCCGCATGAGCATGTCGCTTTTGTTTGATTCTGTCTGGCGATGGCGAGAAGACGCACAGACCAAAGGCCGTAATATCGAAGGTTTGCTTGGCCGTCTTTGAAATAGTATGAACCCCGAACTAACGCTCTTTTCTTTTTCCAGCCTACCTCAAAAATCCGACAAACCCCGACTCGAACGCGGAATCTTCAGCATCGTCAACCGCAGCGCCCGCAGGGCGCACCTCGTCCTCCACTCCCGGCCTCCCGGCTGACCCAAGTCTCGCGCCTGCTCCCATGCTCGCACAAGGCAGTCTGGGAGTTCCGCCCGCCAGTGGAGTAGCCAATCTCCCCAGCGGATTCCTCGAGCCCAACTACGAGGTCTTTGATCCTTTGAACTGGCTCCTGGACGGCCTCGTCGACCTCCCATACTCCTACTCCGCAATGTCAGGGATGGAGCCACAAACTATCGCCTGAAGTACGTGACCGCGCCGTATTCATCAGTTATCTCCACGCGAACATGTCGAGTTGTATCATACATATACCACGTTGACGCGCTCTCATTTTGGTCCGGCGCAAAGGAGTTGGGTTCTTCTATGGCTTTATATAGCTTCTTATGGTTTTTATGTCTTCTATGTCTAGCTATGCCATACTTTTCATGCTTGATGCACTGCGCTTAATGACTGCCACGGATATGAGTCGCGTTACTTGCTTATCAGTATCCTATCCACCAATGATGAGATAATAGACACCTGACTGATTATGTCATCTGCTGCATTCATCTCCGTTGATCACGTCGTAGCCCGGGGTATCAATCAACACATCAATACAGATTGATCGATTACAATTTATAGAGGTACCGAGGTAGACAATGTCTCAACACAACGCCGAAAACAAAACAACAACAAGGGCAGGGACAGGGACACCCGCCTACCAATCCCACCGCCCCGCTTCTTCCCTCCTCATCGCCTCCAAACGACCCCTCACGAAACCCAGCCCGATGCCCCGAACAATGAATCCTAACGTCCATCCCGCCAGCGTCACCATCAAACCTTTATTGTCTTCGATAGCTACACCTACACAAACTACAGACCGATCAAAAGCGCTTACCGTCGAGATGGATCTGTCGCAGCCGCCGCAGCCGTTCCTTGATCCCGACGTGTGGGAGCGGATAAAGGCCGCGGGGAGGGATGCATCAAGGGATCCAAGTATTGAGCGGGAGGAAGGGGAGGAAGAGAGGAGGCGCCGGAGGGAGCGAGAGGCGGAGTTTGGGCAAATGGCGGTGCGAGGGAGATTGGGGGGAATAGGGAGGCAGAGGAGATGATATGCTGTCGTAGATTGGATGGATATTGTTATCGTATAGTAGTAGTACATCCAGTACACATATGGCTATATCAATGGACTCAAAGAGCAAGAAAATGCACGCAAACCTTGAACAAATCTCATGCTGGCTCGTTCTCGTCGTCATATCGTAAGTCGTAAATGTCATGCAAAGTGGTCAAAACACTGCAGCAGCATAAAGGGATGGAAAAAGTATGCAAACAAGCAAATCATGGACATCATTCATATCATAAGAGTGCATCCCATAGGAATCTATCTGAGAAATGAAATCGTGGCCATTCATAACATAGCGTTCAGGGGCGGTGAAGAAGGTCGCGAGCCTGCATGCTAGAGCCCACCAGCACAGCTTCGCCGATTTTCTGCTTCAGCTTTTCTCTTCGTGCCTCGCGCTTTGCTTCTTCTCGCTGCTGAACCGAACGCCTCAGGCGTCTGCGGAGGTTGCGCACGGGGCCCAGTCGAAGGCGCAGCCTCCACCACGACAAGGAGAGCATGCGACGCTGATGGAGAGAGGTCTGGGAGCGAAGCGCTGCGGGGCTAAACATGGTGGCGCCCACCAGAGCACTGCTCCTTTTCGGATGGCAGCGGGGGTTCGTGCCCTGCAATGGGCTGCGACGAGCGAGGGAAGGCCCGTCGAACACAACCCGTGGCTGAGGCATTCCCAACGAGTTGCTTATGATGTGATCGGACTCCATATGGGCGGCTTGCTGAGGAGGTTCTTCCGACTCAGGCGAGTCGTCCCAGAACCGACGAGGGCGCCAGAATGGATGAAGCCGGCTGTCGATATCTCTGCCAGCTTTGCGATTTTTCGCTGAGGTTATGGACAGCGATCGGACGAAACGATCAAATGAATCCGATCGAGGGCGAACCACCCTGCGTCGGAGTGAGCCAAACCGCCGTGGATTATTCCCGTTTGACTCGTCCCTATCATCCGACACCCTCAGCTGCCGGTCGGCCTCATCTTCAGGAGTCGGCGGCATGACGTTAGGGACCGGAGGTTTCGGTGGTGGGCGAGGGTTCCTCAAAGGTGAATCGACATGGCTCGAATCCTGGGGCAGATGGTTCTCAGGGGTTCGTGAATCCCTCCGTCGTTGACAATCATCCGGCTGAGGCGCGGGGGGATCGAGTGCAGCTCGCACAGGCTGGTCAACAAGTAGGAGGGATTCATTATTGTGAGGAAAGAAAGTAACCGTCCTCGCCTCCTTGATTTCAATCAACCCCGGGGACGATGATGCGACTGAGGCTGGCGTGAAGAGAATGGAAGGTGGGCGTAGGTGAGTCATGTCTTCGATGCCGATCCAGATGGACTGTGTCTTCGGAGCATCCGTGACGCCCCAGCGACCGGCACTCAAGGTCTGATTGTCGAGCTTTGGTTCAGGCAGTTCAATAGGAACCTTATCCATCTCACGATTCTTGAGAATGTCCTGGTTTTGAAGGCTCTCGGTGGCCAAGGACGGCCGCCGTGAGCTGTCTCTACTTGTGGACGCCGACAACGACGAACTGCGAGGAGGAATCACCGGTTGACCAATGTTGCGACCTCTGGGATCTGACGCTGGAGTAGCAGTAGCGATTGAGTCGGAAAATGTCCGCTTCTTCTGACGGGTAAGATCGAGAGATGGCGGTCTACTCTTCCGTGCAGAATCGGGTCGCTGACTGGATCGCCGGGAGCCAGCCTTGGATGGATTCCTGCTGACAGATTGAGAAGAACGAAGAGAAGAACGTCGCTCGGGAATCACGACTACAGGGACAACCTCAATATTGCGAGGAGGGCCGCCCGCTGGGGCACGGGCTGGAACAGAGATTTCGGAAGCAATGCTCTTGCGAACTTGTTCTGTGATCCGAGCATCTTTATGGATTAGGCGGTGCTGGGAGTCTGGATTGGAATCAAGCGATGTACGTGCCGACTTCGTCACGGGCGAGCTGGCGGAGCGTAGAGACTGCCTCTTTTCCGTATGTCGCAGTGTTCGGTTGGCCGGTCGCGGAGCGTCAATGATCATAGCTTCGATTGTCGAGGATGTCGACACGCCGGAATATCGCCGGAATTCCTCTTCAGCGGGCGGCCACCCTATCTCCTCACGAAAATGTTCAAGTGAAGGGCTTGCCATGCTGATTTGGGCATCTTTGACCCGGTCACGCAGCTTCCGTCCACGTAGTGGAGGGAGGTCCTCATCGTTCCCATCCAAGGCAGATCTGTCGGGGGATTTCTCTGTTCGGTTTCTTGGACTATCACAGGATGGCGCTCGTTCATCGTGGCAACCATCGTACGATTCGACTCTGGTGGGCCTCAGCGTCTCGTCGGAGTGGACTGAAGTAGCCCTATCATCTTCAAAACTGGCATCACTGGAGCCATGTGGACTCTCGTCCTGAGATGATTTCTGCTTATAGGATCTGCGCTTTTTCTGATGGTGCAATGACTGGGTCGAACGACGCGGGGTCACTGTTTCGCCATCCGAAATCATCTCGCGGGCGGTCTGAAAAGACTCGGCTCTAGAGGACGCGGATGTGTGCCCAAACTGACTGAGACTTGGTCGATATGTCGATGAAGTTATGCGAGGCGGCGTTGTCTCTGGAGTGGGGGGTTGGGACGGTTTGGTCGGCGTCATCGCACCATGGATATAGTTGACAGAATGCGAAGAGGCGGTCTTTTGCATGCCTGACGCGTCATTTGACGATGCTCCCTCGTGGCCCGCGCTGGGTGGAGTCAAAGGAAGAGCCGGGGCAGTTGCGATCGGGACTGCTCCGGAAGTATGGCCGCCATTGTTTGCGGAGGCTGAATGCGCGAGATCAGGATCCGAGGACAATTCTGCTCTCCGAGGCAGGGACTTGCAAGATCTGAAGAGCGGCCGTTCGAGAGCCGACTCGGGGGGATCCACAGAGGCCCCAGTGGTTTCAACGCCAGGCATCTTGAACCTCGAATTCACCGCAAATTGCCACGACGCGCTGAAGCGATATTGTCACCGTGGGTCGACAGCTTCACTGTGAGCGATGATTTCCAAGGACATGTCACTGGATGATTCAGATGGAGGTAGCAGGTAAGGCGATAAACGGAGGCCACATAGCGAAGAGAGGCGCGAGAGAAGGGTCAGTATCAGTGGAAGCGTCTAGGCCTGACAGGTGTGAAGGAGATAACTGGCTGATTAGTTTGCCCTTTATTTGCCTTTCCTTTTTTTTTTTTTTTTTTTTCCCTTTGTTTTTTGCTTTTGTCGCCAAGCGAACAAA